CTTAAATGCTCAATTTAAATGCTGCCTTCTCTAAGAAGCTGGTACTGATTCCCTCAGTCACCTCTCCTTTCCTCAGCTGACAGGACTTGCTCTCTCTCTCTTTTTTTCTCTCCAACTGCAAATTGTACTTCTCTCACAGTATACATTATACATTTTGTTCATTTTAATACTCCATATAGGTTATACCTAAAATATATTATTAGTTTTCCTATAGCTTAATAAAACAATATGGACATTTTTCACTTTATGTAATTTTGGGGTGAGACATCATTGTCTAAATAATTGATAAAAATAGCCGAAACCGGTTTGACTCAATGGATAGAGCATCGGCTTGGGGACTGAAAGGTCCTGGGTTCGATTCCGGTAAAGGGCATGTACCTTGGTTGCTGGCATATCCCCAGTGTGGGGTGTGCAAGAGGCAGCTGATCGATGACTCTCTCTCATCGATGATTCTAACTCTCTATCTCCCTCCCTTCCTTTCTGTACAAAATCAATAAAATATATTTTTAAAAAATTGATAAAATAGATAAAAATACATATAAATATAAACACCAATAATAGAAAAATAGGTAAGAAAAACTACATCATAGTTGATATTGAGATAAAAATTATGAAATAAAGGTAAGGTAAGAAAATAGTTACATATAAGACAGTAGATAAATATTATAGAATGATTAATACATTAAATTGATATAAATAAATACCTGATTTTAGAAAAGAAAGGATAAGATTAAAAAATAAAAAAACCTTATCTCTAACCCAATTATTATATTGCAAACATAGTCTTTTGGCTGCAATAGTAGGAGAAAATATCAAAATATGATTTAATTTGCTAAAACTGTATAATGAGATATTCAGCCAATCAATAGAACAAGTGAATATCACATCCCACCTATTTGAATTTAGATTTCCAAAACATAAAACTAGCTAATTAGTGTTAAAATAACTTTTGAATTTATTTCTGGATTTCTTCAGAACAAAGTTGGTTTTCTGTAGACTGTGAAAAGAGATATGAACAATGTTCTATTAAGTTAAACTCAGGCAGAATCAGAAAAAATTCATTAACCAGCCTGAAAATGGCATCACTGACAATTGTGATCTCTCATTTCATATGATCATTGAAGAATTGAATAATGCAATATTGTATCCAATGTAGTTGGAGCAGGTTATAAATTTTTAAAAAATGTTTTGTTCATTTCTTAGCTATATTACTACTACTGCTGAAATACCCACTCTCCTTAATTTTGTGATACTGGTTTTCAGAATATTTGACTCTCATCAATATTAAATATGGATGTAATATTTTAAAGTTTCTTCAATATTACTAGAGTTTATGTAAATCTTTCTAAGGAGCCAATTAATAACCCTATTAGTTTAGTATATGCCAAATGATAATATAAAGGAATTCCATAAAGTTTGTATGACTGCTTTCAGGTGAAAATACATCAAGTTGATAGAAAAAATAATGTTTCATCATATCCTTTTTGAATATTTTGGAGAACATAACACCAATGTAGAAAAGTTGAGGGAATCTTAAAGGAAGCACTATTCTTATTTCATTAAATTTTCTTGGAAACTGTCATTCCTTTGCTCTGCTTTTCAATTTCTTTACTACTGTTATAAATGATTAACATAGACGCTATCTAAATTCTATGATTGGACTTAATTTATAGGGAAAGGAATATTACTAGAATAATATAATTCTTCAGACGATAAATTTAAGACACTAGAGAGGCAAAAGATTAGATAGGACAAGATTGCAGATTCATAAAATCTGAATCAAGCACAGCAGTAGGACTTTCAGTTCAAGTGTAGTCTTAAGGCTTTCTTGCTTACTGTCCTTGGATAAGTGCATTTGCCTTTTTGAGCTTCAGTATCTTGAATTCTGTACTGTCATAATTTTGTGAAAATGCTCTGTAAATTGGAAAGTTCTCTATAAGCGAATTTATCAGCATTAATTTATATTTGTGTAACTCTCTGTCAGTCTGCCTGGTGCTGAAAACCCTTAGGGAAGTAAGAAAAAATTTCATGTAAGCAATGATGAATATCAATATTTTCCACAAAATATGACAATCTGTATGAAGTGAACAGAGAGAGGGCTCCAAATTTAGTTTTTGTTTTTTTAACAATCATAAAAAATATTATGAAACAATTTGACTGAGTAATATAACTTCAGGCAACTGGGTTTTTAAATATAAATCATACTCCAAATTTCATTTATTAAAATGCTACAGGTAATTTAATGTGTATAAAAAGGAGTGGAATAAATATTAAGTCTCTCTTAAAGTGAAGTGTTTTATTTGTAAGACAAAAAATAGAATAGTTATCTTGATCTAATGGGTGGTATAAACTGGTGTGCTACAGTTTGCAAATGCTCCCTGAAATCTCCCCCACCCCTTTAATCCATCTTTGCACATAAGATACTCATTACCATTTAAACTAGTTTGGGAGAAAAACAGTAATATTTTATGACTCTAAAATACAATAAAAATGGGGACCCTCCTTTAAGAATATTGAGAATTTAATCCCTAAGTGGCTCGTCCAGTATTACAGTGTCTAAAATGAGCAGAAAATGATATATTTCCTTGGTGAATCATGTGCAACCATCTCAAAAACACATACTGAAGAGGTTTGAGGATGATCCATTAACTTGCTGATTTATTTCTGTGTGCCATATCAATGAACTTTAAGAATGGGTACTGTTTGCCGAAACCAGTTTGGCTCAGTGGATAGAGCGTTGGCCTGCATACTGAAGGGTCCCAGGTTCGATTTCGGTCAAGGGCATGTACCTTGGTTGTGGGCACACCCCCAGTAGGGGGTGTGCAAGAGGCAGCTGATGGATGATTCTCTCTCATCAATGTTTCTAACTCTCTATCCCTCTCTGTTCATCTCTGTAAAAAATCAATAAAATAAAATTTTATATATATATATATATATATATATATATATATATATATACACACACATATATATATATATAAATAATAGGTTCTGTTCTACAATTATTGATTAATTGTAACTTGTGAGCATATCTACTTAAAAAAAAAACACATAATTTCGTAGATCATTGTCATGAAGTAAGCCTGTAATATATATTTCATTCATCACTTTCTCCTGATTACAGCCTGGCCAGATAAGTTCTTCATTTCAGCAACTGTGTGCTCCTGCAACCCTGATCAGATGGTTCAACTGAGTCAATGAACACCTTGCTCTCATTTCACTCTTGAAAGCAGTGAATGGCATAATAGGTATGTGGTTTTTGTTCTTCTTAAGAATGAATTTATTTTGATTATGCAAAAGTAATGTTGTCATGGCAATATAAGGTCAATTTTTATTTTAGCGTATATCACCTAGGCACAAACTATAAGTACCCTGAGGATAAGTACCTCAGGATCTTTGTGAAGCACCTGATACCTAAGTGATGCTCAAAGAAAAAGAAATAGAGAGGTTGACAAACATATGAGCAAAAGACTGAGTAGGTAAGCCATGTAGTCTATCCCAATAACTATAAAACTTAAACATCTTCTTCAGTATGAAAAAGCAATGCACTTTTCTTGCTATAAATCATGCCCTCACAAGAAAATTAAAATTAAACATATATATAAATGGGCAGACTATTATATTGATTTAGGAGATGCCCCTCACTGAAAGTTAGAGTGTGGGATAACTGAGGAAAATACAAACAACTAAATCCAATTTATAAACAGTATTGTGTATTAGAACTTACCTATTTGTTTCTCTCACCAGGCTGTGATCCAGGCATAAATCCGTTACTCTTTACTTCGGGGCATAACAGCCCAGGGCAAACACACAACAGAAATTCAGTAAATGTTTGTTGAATGAGTAGAATGATACACTCATTATTTTAAGTTGCTAAGATTAACATCTATTTGCTTTAAAATGTCATTTATAAATATGTACTTTAATCAATAATGTAAGATTATGAAAGGGCTCATAAAAATAACTTTTCTAAAGTCCTGGAGTAGTAGGATCTTATACCAAAATAGAGACCCAGTGCACGAATTTGTGCACGGGTGGGTTCTGACTGGCCAGCCCCAATTGGGTGGGGGGTCTGATTTAGAGGCGTGAGGCTGGCTGGAGGAGGGGCTGTGAGTGGTTGGCCAACTGCCCCTGCCCTCTGGTAGAATTCCTAGTCAAACTCCTGGTCGAGGGAACAATTTACATATTATCCTTTTATTGGATAGGATTACCCTCAAACCAGTTCTAAATATTAAAAACCACAAGTTTCTTTATAGTACAACTCCCTGGTAATTATTTGATTAGTCAATTTTTCTAAACAATCTGGATGACTGTTAACCAGTTTCTGAGAGAACCTAGTGACATTATTGTTACATATTTAAAAAAAAAAACGAAAACACCTTATTTTACTAGCAAACAAATAACTAGCATAAGCAGTTGTGCTGCCACAGTTGCTTTCCAAATTAATTATGACCAGGGTCAGTGGGGGCATGCAGTGTGTAACACATCACTTGTGTGTTAATGAATTCAAGGGAATGCAATGCCACTATTAGTAATAGCTTTTTATTCGGAGTCCTCAATTTCCAGATAGGTCACATAAACACAGCCATTAAACAATAGCATTGAGATAAATCCATAAAATGTATGCTGCTTTTGATGTTGTCTTTGTTCACCAGTCACTTGTGGTGAACACTTATGGTGTGATGGAGTTGATATATGGGAATAGCCAACCTTCAAAACACTGGGGCCAGGAAAGTCAGGTCTCATTCAATTAAGTTTCAAAACAACACATCTTGATAGCCAAAACTCTCATTTGAATTAATGCTCTAATAAATGCTGTCTGTTGTCAAAATAATATAATATAATTATACAATAATGAGTGGGCATATATTATGCCAGACCTCAGTTTCCCAGTTGACCTCAGCAACTTCTACTCATTAGTCAACAGTTTTTAATCTGGATCTAATAAAGCATACTGTTCTCTTAATACATGACTATATTTTTATGGTGTCATTTTTTTAAATCAAGCAGTGCCTAGATCTTTTACAGGGAAGTCATATTTTACAAGATCTCTGCTATTTCAGCAAGTCAATTTCCAAACCAAAAATTCAATTAATTTATAGAGCAGTGAGACAATCTTTGTATATCTCCTGCAATTGGATGTCAGGTTCAGAAAAAGATATGAAAGCATTGTTTGAAATTGTGAGAAATATCTCTTTAATGTTAACTTTGGTATAGTATAACTAACATTTACTACTTTTAACTTTGATGAAAAGATCTTTCATCATTAGCATGTTGTGGAAAGATTTTTGTTACTGACTTTTTTTAGTTCACCAGTAAACAATTTTTAAAACTTTGACTTTCTATGAAAATTTATATAAACTATTATTCTGTGCTTGACATCAGTTATTTAAGAACCTAAAAGAAAAAGTATCATCAAAGTATTCATTTTGAATGTGTGAAGTTTTTTTGAGGGTTAGTTAATTGAGATGTGAATTAATTTTTTACATTCTCAATGATGCTGAAACCCCTTGAACATATCTGTTTGATTGTGTATCACCTCTTAGAGCAAGCTGCTCCCCAAAAGGGTGATTTTGGCATCTCATAGACTTCCTTGGAAGTCAAGCACCAGGGGTCTGTGATAAAGGAAGTTGCCAGCCAAATGAATAAAAGCAAGATTTCCTCACTCAATTATAAAAGCTTAGAGTCCTGACTGCTGAAGTACCACCAACTTGAAAATAAATAACCACTACTAAATGCAGATAACATGTTAAACAGCTAACACTAGTAAATCACTGGTGACAGAGAGCCGAAAGGGAAATCCCTCACACATTGGCACACCAATTCTTAAAGTCTTATAGCATTATAATGTCTTTAGACACATATACTAAACTGAACAACTGGTTACTGAAAGTTAAGAATGTTTTAAAAATAAACCCTACTCTCCTTTAAATGTCATTTACATACTGCCTTAGTTTTTACTAAGCGGCTATCTGTCTAGTAAGAGAGAGGCAACACTTGGTAAGACTAAATGGAAATTCATCAAATGTCTGCTATTGAGCTAAATCAACCTGTGGTCTCCCGGCAGAAAAGTAAGATCATATAACAGAGACAACACGTTTCAGATACATAAATTGTCCAAAATATAGACAGTCAATTCAGTTTCACATGTACAAGATCCCTTCTTTTCTAATTTAAACATTTACAAATGATAAAAACCAATAGTAGAGCTTTGGAAGGGCTGTTACTAGGAACGAAGTACAGTTCTCCAGAGAATAAGGCTGAGGGCAGGTGTTCACTTTTCCTTTCAAAGCAATTTGCAAAGGATGTACAGTCTAAAATCTTGACAGCATTTGAGGGAAATGTTTTCAGTTGAATTTGTAGAGACAAAACCTAATTCAGTTCAGTGTTTGTTTTTATTCTTGTTTTTGTTAATCTAGGAATTTTATGACATTTATGCTGTTTCTACATTGGCTTGGTGGCCAGAAAAGAAGGCACAGAATTCTCCACCAGTTTGCAAATAATGCATTTTTCGGCTCCAGTGCACAAACAGCATTTATGTAACTCAGCACCACGTCTTCTAAGGTATGGGCTGGAAGCTGTTTGACATGAAGCTGTTAAATGCCAAAAATTTTTAACAGGGAAGGAAAATGTCAATCAAGGCATTTCCCCATCTGCCGCTACTTCTGTGAGTGCTAATTTTATTTTTCCCCAATTCCTGAAATTTGAGGTTTCCTAGCCTCACATGGTAGTCAGTTTGAAACTTGCTAAATGACACAAGAAAAAAGGTGCAAACAAATGAAGGAATAGAAGGTGTATTTTTTCTCAAAGGACACCAATAAAAAGAGGCAGAAGAACATTGAGAAAAATGGAAAACATTCTGTGAAGACCCAGACCTCTTGAAAAACACTACACAATGCAAATAGCCAGGGCTGGTATCACACATGCATCAAAGCGTTTTTCATGGTTTTGAAATAAATGGGAGCACACATCTTGAACCACATAAGATACTTTTAAAAACCAATCAACAGCATGATATCTACAGAGGCAGAAAGTGTGTGTTATTGAGAAAACATGAAGAAATTTCAGGTATTGGTACAAATGCAATTCTTGTGATTTAGCATGACTTTAATAGAAGCTTCTACAAGGACTTGCACATAACCATGACTGACAGATGTATTTTTTGACCTTTCAGATAGCTCCGTCGGCTCACGCAAACACATTTTGAACAGATTATGTACTGCAGTACTTGGTAGACTATACATTAAACAAGAGACTTTGCTCTGAGGCACTGCTTCCCACGCTCCATGGGGAAAAGGAAGCAGGAAAAAACAAAACTCATAGAGTTCGACAGCTACTGAGGCAACACTTGCCATTTACAATATAAGCCCAAATATTTTTGCAACACAACTATATATTAATTTAATAAAATACACAATATAGCTCTTATACACTCAACAATTTGGCTCATATGCACTGAATCTGCAATAAATCAATAAAAATATGTCATTTGATGTAAACACATTGAATCTTCTTACATTTGCACATAAAAATGATCATGTGATTTGTGTAAATCTAAGACATTTTCCCTTTCCTGAGCTATTTTAGTGTCCACAAACCAGTAAAACATATTAATCATGTTAATTTTTTCTCTACCCATCATTATTTATATGTTTGTTGGACACTAAAATGCTAAAGAGAAATTTTAAAACTTCAAATTTTCTCCTCCTTTAATGAAGTGAATTAGTCTGTGTGTGTGTGCAGGACAAAATGGACTATATCTTTTTTACATTTAACTTTAATACGACATGAGGTGTCTTACAAATGACCAAGTATTTTTTTAAAAAATTGTTTTTTCAACTAATGATATGGAATGTTCCTTGTGTTTCTATGTGTGGCAGGTAACTTTATACAGAAATGCTTACCACAAATATGTATTAATGTTTGGTGTAGCTTGGACTACTGCAAGGTCTTTGCGGGACTTTCAGTAGAAGCCTGTGATGGCTGCTAAAGAGCCACCACAGATCACACGTTAGGACCCTGCTTTGTACGGGGTTTGTAGGTAAACAGCGAAGTCAGCATCAATCACGGAGGACAGTCTTAACAGTGACCGGAAATACTTCCCTTCTCACACGGCATACCTTCCTGAGTGACCGTCAAAAGGTATTTGCCTCCTCATCTTCCTCTTTCTTCTCTGTTTGTCTTTCCACTTTGAGCATCCTCAATGCTGTCCCAATATAAGTTTGGTCAAAACAAAAACCATTGTTATCTCTGGGGAGGGTGGGGGTGGGGGGGAAATAGCAGTGAAAAGGACATACTTGTGGGCACTTCAGATGTTCACGGAAAGCCTTGAAGCAGCATTGGTCTCTCTTCTTCCCTGTACACCAGGTTGTCACCAGGAGGGATCGTTTTTTAAATCAACAGAAGAGATAAGAAAATGCCAATGCTTTTTTTTTTTTTTTTTTCTCCTCCCCCTCTCACTTTCTCACAGCCACAGGGTCATTTCCCCGACAGTCCTGCAGCAGCTTATCAATCTCTCTCACGACTTCCTCCGCATCCACGGACTCCCGGCCCAGATCCCGGGCGGGGTGGTCCAGCTGCTCCAGGACGGCCCCCATCTCGCTGGAGTCGCGGCTGGCCCTGGAGTGCACATCCGCGAAGACCCTCGCCATCTGCTCGGAAGCCAGGAAAGGAGGAGGGTCTCGGGGCTGCTTACTCGGCGACAGGTACTGGCTGTCGGTGGGCAGATACTGGCTGCTGGCCTCGGCCAGGGCTCCCGGCTTTGCTTCGCAGCCATCCTGGGAGCCTTTGGTGGAGGTGCAGGGCTCCACGCACGCCTTGGTGGGGCTGCTGGATGCTGAGGGGACCTCCTGGAGGAGAGGGCTCAGGGCACGTTTGGCTTTTAGGTAAGGTTTCACATTGGCAATGAGAATAGTGTGCTCTCGCTTGTCTTTTCCGAATGTACAAAAGGTCTTTTTCCCAGTGGGATTCACAGTTTCGTAAGTCTCAGTCTCAACATTAGCCTCCACTGTGGGCACGAAGAGATTTGTGCGGTAATCTGCGTTCTCAGCCTGGTTGGCTGCAGGGAACTGTGGCATCCAACACCTGTCAGAATGACCAAGCACTCGGCATTCGTCTGTGCAGTTAATGCACTCTTCGGGTTCTGCAAGACAAAAGCGAAAAAGCAAGCCCAGTCATTAGAGTTGCCTTTGCATTTCTACCAAGAACTCGCTCAGCTCTCAGTGGGCCTGCTTGACCTCTGGTCTCTTAATTAAAAAGGAAAAGAAAACAATAATTAATACATTTCAGGACGGTTGCATAAACCTGCCTGGTTGAGACAATGGTTTTATTTAAGTCTCGTCTCTAGATATTAATGAATTCCCATAGCCTGGGAAGCAGAAAAAGTGGCCATTGGAGAATCACTCTCGGTGGAATAGAACATCACTGTAAACTACTTTCCTTGGGATAGCAGTTAGTCTTTGTTCTGTGTAACCCATCCTGGAAACAGTGAGCTTCAAAAAGGATTACTCGGATTAATTTTTCAAATCAAATAACAGGGTAAAAGCTGGATTGCAGACTTCTGTAACAAGTCCTAAGCTTATTTTTTTTTTTAATGTTGTATCCCTATTTTCCTTGTAATTGTTATTTTGGTGACAGTCATAAAATAAAGGGTTTCCTTTAAAAGCCTATTTTCCTGCCGAGAGTAGCAAATGGAAATTTCTATCAAAATGTGTTATGAAGTAGCTTGTCAAAAAGTGCACATTTCTATTTTATTAGATACGGGTATGGATCATGTAATCAGTTTTCTTCACTTTAGGTTTTTGTTTTTGCTGTAAGTAGGTGAAAATGGATTTAGTCAACAGATATAATTCACAGTGAATGACGAATCATGATTTCCTATTTTAAATGATAGTGCTTTCTGTGAGAATTTTTGCTTCTCTTTTACCAATAGAAATACAGATAATCTAAATAAGCTTTTTTAATGATCCTATTTTAAAGATGATGAATAAGAAAACATGAAAGAAAATGTCTTCATTATGACAACATGACAACAGCTGCATACTTCCATGACCTCAATATTTTAAACTATAACTTTGAACTTTGTCTTCTTAGTTCTCTCTTTCATTTAAAACAGCTATTCCCCTTACTGTTTAATGATCCTTTAAATCAGAAACTTTTTTTAAGGAGAGGGTATTTACAATTTACCACTGTGTGGTGGAAATAGAATTCTCTACATATTTAAGAACCCTAGGGATTGACATTAAATTGACAAGAGAGGATCTTGACAAATTTATAGTATCATGTGTAAGGAGAAAAATGTTCACATGAAAGATACTTAAAATAGCAAGAAGCAAATTTAATAGCATTGATAAGTTTATACAGTTGCTTTTCAAAGCCATAAATAAAATCTGAGTTTATATTTAAAACAGATAAATAATTCCCTCTCTGAAAAAGAAAAATATATATACAATACAACTCAATTTATCTCAGAAGGTTTTAAGATGAAATAATTTTCTATTACATTAATATTTTTAAAGTTATCTAAATACTGTTATGACAGAACAAAACACTGTGGCATTACATAGCATGTATCATTAACATGGGACACATTTAAAACATATTTAGGTATGTCATGTTTTGCCATGTTTTTTTAAATATATTTACCAGTGCATAAATTAAATATGTTAAGTTTATTATGTAATGCAGGTAAGTATGTTGAAATGCAGTTTCCAACTAAATTTCACCAAGAGACTAGAATATCATCTGATGTGAAATTGTTGGACAGATGAATACAAAGGGAAGCAGGAGGATACAGAAACATAAAATTTTCTAAAATGCCTTCTTGTATAGATTTAAAGTAGAGTAGAAATTTTATAGAAAAGAATATCCTGAAAAGTTTAGTATCTGGTATCTATTTTCTTTTCCTTTTCTGAATGGGAATCATAAAAAATACTTCCATGTATGTGCAAGTAAGTGTTAGAAAAAAAGGATATTATTTCATTCAACCAATTTTGTCCTCCAAAAATACAGTAGAACACTTTACTACCTATTTCACTTGGTGATACTTTTGAATCTTTTAGAGTCAAAATTTTTTAAAAATTCATTTGCAATCCATACACTCTCTTTGAAACATAATAACATAGTTTTATATTCCAATTGTGACTGGCCTTCAATTTCAGCTATTTGGATAGCCTAACACTGAATAAATTCAATATGAATTTAAAAACAGAGTGAAAGTGATAGAATAATGCAGATATATGAAAGTGAAAATCGACCTTGATTTTCAACATAAAATGATTGTTTGCACTTCACTGCTGAAAATCTGCAGCTTTTTACTTGACTCATTCATGTCACATCCTAGGGAGCAAATTTTGAGTATTGATTGTGATACACTATAAGCTGTTCACCTTGTGATTAGACTGCAATTTTGATGACAGCAGTTCACAGATAGTGAAGAAAATAGAATGGACACTTTTGCACTAGCAGCAGAAACTATGAGCATAAAGTAAACAACAGCTACAGGGGTCAAATAAGAATTTATGAAAGTAAAATTATTTTTGAAGTCACATCAATAAAAAGATAAATAGGTAGGTACTGAAAAAAGACATATAATGTATGATTAGCTAGACCAACAAGAAGGAAAAATAAATAAGAAAAGGGAAGAGAAGCTAAGTGAAGGGAGAGAGGCAGAGGAGGGAAGCAGAGAGGAAAGAAGAGGAGGAAATGTTTTAAAGAAAGGGAGTTGTTTTAGGAGGACTTCTGCTTTGTGTATCTTTTGTCATATATTTGCAAAAAAACCCCGCCATAACCTAAGTGTGCATAATAAAGAATAATACTGTTGAGTGTTTTCTCAAGCCCTAGAACTGTAAATGAAGGTAAACTTCTGCATCTTAGAGAAAATGGATCCCAGAATAGATATCTATATTGAATTAGAAGCTATAGAATTTTTTCAAAAGCAAAATATAAAGACTGTCCCTACTTGCATAAATTAGTGTAACCAAAATCAAACATTTGTATTAGAAAACAAATTTAGAGACACTGGGCAGAAGAAATCAAAGCAAAAATATTTGATTCAAGATTTACTTTTGTCTTCAGGAACAATCTGGGATTATAAGGGAATTGTTTACTTTTATTTTAATGTTGTACTCAATATAACTTGATTTTCTTTCAACAGAATGCACCCTCTACCAGAAAAATGGACTAATTCAAATGGTATACAGATGAGAAAAATTGAGAAATAAGCATGTTTATATTGCAAAGACAAAGCAATTCTGAAAACCAACAGCTAAAAATCTGGACAGTTTTGCCTATAGGGAAAGTTTCCAATGTCTGATTTTTTAAAATGTATGATTGCCTGAAGAATCATGTGACAATCAGATAAACTGGAATACTTGTTTAGTATTAAGAATCATTTTCTGTAATCATATAGCCTCATCTAACTATTGCACAAGCACCCATAGGGAGGAATCTAAATATGGTCATCCTAATTAGTTTAATTTTGCATCTTAATTTGTAAGATATTTTTTCAAATGATATAAAGCCAATCAAATGACTACAGTATTGCAGTTTATTTTGTGCCAAATCTCTCTCTCACTTTCTCTCTCTCTCTCTCTCTCTCTCTCTCTCTCTCTCTCTCTCTCTCACACACACACACACACACACACACACCCACACAGATCTTTGTTTGTATGTGTGTGTGTGTGATAAAATTGAGCTTTTCCCAGGATACATAGTACAGGTAAAATTTAAAAACTCAAATACATTCCATTCCTGAAAATTAACTATCAGTAATTGCCATGAGCAATGTGCAGGTGATCATTACAACATACAAGAATGTTCTATATTTATAATATGAGTGATAACATAAATATAGGGTGTCCCAAAAATGTATATACACTTTAACAGCTGATAGTTCAATTTTGAAAATGAAATACATGTTAATAAGCACTGCCTTTATAACTATTCAAAGTGTGTGTATACATTTTTTGGGATATTCTCTCTATATAAACTATAAATATTTATATATAAAGCATCACATATATAATGAATATATATATGTATAATTCTTTTTATCTAAAATCTATCATTGGCCCAACAACTTGACTACCTCTGATTTTAGAATTTTATATAATGCAAACTGATTTAGACATAAAGATGTCCGAAATACTCATATTCACACTGGCTAACATATCTGAAAGCTCTCTTTTTTAAAGTATGTTTTTATTGATTTTTTTTTAGAGATAAGGGAAGGGAAAGGGGTAGAGAGATAGAAACATCAATGAAAGAGAAACTTCGATTGGCTGCCTCTGAACAAATTCTACTGGTGGTAGAGACTGCAACTCTGGCATGTGCCCAGACTAGGATCCAAACCAATGAGCTCTGGGTCCATGGGGCAATGCTCCACTGAGCCACACCAGGCGGCTGAAAGCACTCTTTTTTAATGCTGATGAAGCAGTGCAACAACTTAATCTTAGAGATAGTAGGTAAGCAATCATTTTGTGCCAAATATATTTTCAAAAGAACTGAGGAAATTATTAGTATATATGTAAGGAAAAAACTTAAGCAAAGCATCAAATTATCTGATCTTAAGTTATTGGCAATCTCCCATAAAGGACGCCATGTTTAATGCTTACAGTGTGATTTTAACATTGTAAAATCACCATATTATTAGGAATGCATGGCCATTTCAACAACGGATCATGCATTCCTAATAATATGCATGTTATTATTTCTAATAATATGCATGACTCTTTGCAAAGGAGACATGTCCAGAAACAAGTCCATGAAATCTCTTACTTCAGACTAAATCTAGGTCTTTATTCTAACCCATCTCATTCTCAGGGGAGAATTTATCACAAATCAGAAGTTAAGTTTATTTTCCCAGCCTTGGAAACACTAAACCACACCACCCAAAGAGAGAAGCCTGGCAACTAATTTGTTTCCACTTAGGGAAATATTAGAAAACATAAAAGGATTTCCTCTCCTTGGTTTCAAACTTGCTTTCTGCCTCAGGAGCCCACACATTTGTAAATCTAAAAATATGCATATAGTTCCTATCATTAGAACTTCAGATATGCATCTGTTTTAATTTTTATAATGAGGAAATAATTTGGGCTTAGAAAGGTGAAAACCAAAACCTATAAGTCAGGGCATGAATGAGCA